TGGAAGGGACCTTAAAGATCATCTTGTCCAACCATCAACCCAACTGACAAAAATAGACACCCACACAACAAACAAGGAGCATCATCACTAAACCAGACCTCCCAGCACTACATCAACCCGTCTTTTGAACACCTCCAGGGATGGGGCCTCAACCCCCTCCCTGGGCAGCCCATTCCAATGCCTGAGAACCCTTTCCGTGAAAAAATTTTTCCTAATATCCAGCCTGAACCTCCCCTGGTGCAACTTGAGGCCATTTCCTCTTGTCCTGTCGCCTGTGACTTGAGAGAAGAGACCGACCCCCACCTCTCTACACCCTCCTTTCAGGGAGTTGGAGAGAGCAATAAGGTCTCCCCTCAGCCTCCTCTTCTCCAGGCTGAATAACCCCAGTTCCCTCAGCCTCTCCTCATAAGACTTATTCTCCAGACTCCTCACCATCTTTGTCGCCCTTCTCTGGACCCGCTCCAGCCCCTCAATGTCTTTTTTATGGTAGGGGGCCCAAAACTGGACACAGTACTCAAGGTGAGGCCTCACCAGTGCCCAGTACAGGGGGACAATCACCTCTCGGGCCCTACTCGCCACGCTGTTCCTGACACAGGCCAGGATGCTGGTGGCCTTCTTGGCCACCTGGGCACACAGAAGCCAACAAGGCGAGCGATAACTCAGCAAACGGAGGGTGGGACCACCACAGGAGGTGACACCCTCCAGGCTGGCTTCCCGAGACTTCCCTCAACAAGGTTTCCCTCATCCTGGAAACCAAGTTTGCAGCAACGCTCCACGCCGCCAAAACTCGATGGGCTCTGCTTAATTAAGCGGGATAAAGTAAGTACAACCAAAGGAATGTAAAAACGAATCGTTCAGAATGGCGGCGCGGTGAGGACTGAGGAGAATGTGACACGTGCTTTTTCTCAGTCTCTGATTCAATCCATCCCCCTGTTAAAATCACTCATTACATTACACAGCAGTGCATATTAAGGCAATAAACATAAATGTACTCTTACTACAGACATAAAAATATATTATTACTAGCGTCTACAGAACAAAAAAGGATGAATCCCAAGAACTTCTCACAAGGTTAAAAAACAAACTAAAACTCTTTGGATCCACTTGGAGCACCTCATTTAGATAAACTTGAAGCATCTAATTTCAACTGAACTTTTTTTGTATGTACTGTACTTTGTGAAATAAATTGAAAAGTAAGGATATATGAACATGTTTTCCTCCAAGTTCATCAACTCTGATACATTCTCATGGGATGTTTCTTTCTCATGGTTTGCACTTTTTTTTTACTGCACAATATCCCTCTGGAAAGCACGACTACGTGTAGCCTTTGTGCACACAATAGGCCTTGAAAAAATGAAAGCCTGGAAAATTGTTAAAACTAGCACTCTTTCCCTGCCCTCAGTGGAATCACGCTGTCTTACCCGTGCTGAAAGTATGGTCCTAGTGCTTGAAAGAATAGAAGTCCTTCTCTCTGAGGAAAACAGGCTCAGTGGTAAAAAAGTGAGGCAGAGATAAATTGTACCTTCTCACAGGCTACGGAGCAAACCAATAAAATGTAACGATGGGATTAATTTGAAACTCATTTATCAGTAGACAGGTGATCAGTGGTTTATAACAGCTGTACCTTTTTATAAGACAAAGGCCACTTGGCAAAGAGAGCAAGCTGTTTGTTTGGGGTGGTGTTTTCTTTTTTTTAATAAGTCAACAGTTTTTGCAGTTAACTCTTCGATGGGAGTGCAAGAGGATGAACTTTGGCACATGCCTGATAGGACTTTGCCAGCAGCTCCATCCCTGGGAGCAGGCTGCCACGTTAGCAGGTGTGTTGACTCCCTGCTGTCCCAGCCAGAGAAGGTGGTTCTTCAAGCAGCTCAAGAACACAATCGATTTTTTTTTAATTTTTTTTTTTTTCCCCAATTTAACATTTATGGCTTTGTGAATGATTCAGGCAAGCGTGGAGGGGCAGCCTGGATGCAATAAAGGAAGGGTTTTTGTTTACGTGTGAGTTTTGTCTCTGTTGTGCTTTCGTTCAGCTTACACGGAACGGCTGTCCAAAAAAACTGCCTAAAACTGCCTCCTCTCTACCTTTTCACCGGCGTTTTTTTCCCTGCTGGTGTGTGATGACAGCGGGGACCAAACCAGTCTTAACTCCACACAATGAACGTTACACCTACGGGTCTCCAGAGTTTTCTTTTGATGCTTCTCAGGGACACTCATGGATTTCAGCCCTCTGAGACTCTGGAATTTGTCACATGCCACCAAATTTGACATACGCTGGGCTGAGTCGAGTCTTTTTTTTGGATTTTACTAAAACAGTGGTTAACAAATACCTGGTGTAAGTCAAACAAATTCTTTATTTTCAAGGTTTTCAACAAACAAACAAAAAAAACCCCAAAGAAATAAAGCTTTACCTTGCACGGGATTATCTGTTTTGCAATTCTTGCTTCAGATGGCTATTTTAGATGTTACCATCTAAGTGCAAATACTGAAATACAATGGAGATTAAATCTGTACAACACATTCCTGTGAAAGCTGTATTGTTTTCCTCAGGAGCTAGACAACACCCACTATGGCTACTTCTGTCCTTCGGATGGAGGCTCCTGTTCCTTCGTGCCAGGTAAACACAAATCAACCAAGACTTTGGCCTCTGCTATTTGCACCCCAGATCAAAATTCATGAGCAAGTACTAAATTCCCTGTATCGCTTTCTGCTTATGAAGCAAGGGAAAAAAAAATACAAATTTAAAACAAGCCACTCACGGACGTGAATGTGTTGTGAATATCACCCTGCTTGGAAAGTAAAGTTCTCTTGATTTGTTTGTTCCAGACTTTGGCCACTCTTAATTGACTTTGACCCACACACCCCTGTAAGGTTTGAAAACCACTTGCAGTGCAGCTCTTTGGAGAAAAGATTCTTGCACTAAGGTGTGGATGGCACTGACAGGCTTTCGGTCCCAACCGGGCATTTTGGGCGTGATCACAACTAAACACTCAGAGGGATGAAAACACAGCAGTGCTGGTTGGCAATCTCAGGTGGAGTAGGACGATTGCTCCTGCGGTTGTTGTGCCCACAGGCTTCATCAAGGATCATCTTGTCTGCCTTGGTGAAATCATCTAGCCACATGAGGCGAAGAGTGGGAGGAGAGGTGAGATGCCGAGAGCAGAGAAGCCTTGTCCAAGATGACACAGTGCCAGAGCCAAAAATAGGAGCCAAAATCCAACGCCCTTGTCCACATGACTCTCTTGGAAATAGTTCTTAAGGCCTTGGAGTCTCATTCAGGTTTTTCCTTGGATCTGAAGTACTTGGCTCTTAGATACACTTCTGACCTCTTGAATGTGAAGAGGGAAATCAAATGTCCCTTTTCTAGGAAACAACTATGAAAGATGCGTGCGTACATCAAGATGAAGGCCTTTTTCCTGGATCAAAATGTTCTTCCCTATCCGCAGGATGCTTCAGCAAGGCTACCATCCCTCTTCTACCTCTAGCCAATTTCCACAAAATGTCATTTCTCTTGGTGAGTGCCTAGTGCCTGGTTAGGTGTCCTCGGGGTCAGTCCCTCAGTGAATCCCTCTTCCCATCTCAAGGCACGAGACACAACACAGACAGACCTGGCTAAAGGGCAGACCTTGTCCCTTTTCACTTTCTTTAGCTGTCCACACCTACTCTACTGTTCATAGATCCAAGAGCTTTCCTCAATTTTCACAGAATCACAGAATCATGGAGTTGTTGAAGTTGGAAGGGACCTTCTAGAGATCATCCAGTCCAACTCCCCTGCCAAAGCAGGGTTGCCCAGAGCACATCACTCAGGAGCATCCAGGCGGGGCTTGAAGATCTCCAGAGAAGGGGACTCTACACCCTCCCTGGGCAGCCTCTTCCAGGGCTCTGCCACCCTCACCCCAAAGAAGTTCTTCCTCAGATTGGAGTGGAACTTCCCATGGTCCAGCTTGTGCCCGTTGCCCCTCGTCCTGTCCCTGGGAACCACTGAAACGAGTCTGGCTCCATCCTCCTTCAACCCACCCTTTAGATCCTTGTCAGCATTGATAAGGTCTCTCCTCAGCCTTCTCTTCTCCAGGCTGAAGAGTCCCAGCTCTCAGCCTTTCCTTATCAGGGAGATGCTCCAATCCCTCCATCATCTTAATCATCGTCATTCAATTTTCCTCTTCTCTTTTACTTTCTGATCTGCTATTTTGGGCCTTCCCATGGCTTTCCTGGCCATGCACTGGCCATGGAGCACTGCAGTATGCTGGGCCAGTACTGCTGCCTCCCATCTGACTCCTGAGGAGATGTCTCTTCTACATGAGGAGTTTTTAGTGCAGACGTGGCCTGTTTTTAGCAGCTTTCTGTACCTCCAGAATCACAGAATGCTATGGGGTTGGAAGGGACCTCTGGAGATCATCTAGTCCACCCCCCTGCCAAAGCAGGGCCACCCAGAGCAGGTCCCACAGGAACGTGTCCAGGTGGGTTTGAATGTCTCCAGAGAAGGAGACTCCACCCCCTCCCTGGGCAGCCTCTGCCAGGGCTCTGCCACCCTCACAGCAAAGAAGTTCCTCCTCATCTTTAGGTGGAACTTCTTACATTCAAGTTTGTGCCCATTTCCTCTTGTCCTGTCCCTGGGCACCACTGAAAAAAGACCAGCCCCATCCTCCTGACGCCCTCCCTTGAAGTATTTCTAAGCCTTGATCAGATCCCCCCCTCAGAGCGAAGCCCCCTCTGCCTCGCCCCGCAGAAGGATGCCCACCCTGGGGAAGGCGCACCCCTTCTTCCCCCTTTTTCCAAGAAGACCCTCGCTGTAGAAACATATTCTTAAATAAAACACCCTCCCCCTTTCGCCGCGGAGCCGTGAGGGGAGGGAGGGGGGGGGTGTGTGTGTGAGGCGC